ATTTTTCATTAGTCAAATGTACAAATCCTCAAAAGAAAAGAGAGAACAAGACTCATGTAAAACAGGTAACCTAAAAATGTGGCAGAAATAAATGTTCTTTGGTTATGACAAAAAATGTAAAATTGTGTAAATTTCTTATTAAAAAATAATCTCAAAGTGAGTCAAAAAATCTAAATCCAGATTTATAGGAGGCAGTCATCAAAAGTGCTATCTGTTTAAGGTAAAAGGATAGTAAAAAATGCATCAGTTAAGGGCTGATAACAAACAAATAAAGCTTGCAATATTGTCGTAAGAAAAATTAGAATTCAAGGCAAAAAAAAAAAAAGAAAGAACCATTAAGAGAACAGAGAAGCACATTTTCTACCAATAAGGGAACAATCTATTAGAAATACATGGTAGTAACAAAACTCTATGAGTTGAATAGTTAAGAATCAAAATATATAAATCAAAAACTATTAGAAATTCAAATCAACAGAAACATAATTTTATTGTAATAACAGAACTTACCACTCAGTCTTTGACAGTTCAAGTAGGTGAGTGACAATAGCAATTAAAAAAAAAAGATAAAAATGATCTGGTTGATCTTATTAATAAAAATTAGCAAGTAGACATATATCAAACTCTGTGGCCAAAATAAAGCCCAGATGGTCCCCAACTTATGGTGGTTCAATTTAACAATTTTTCAACTTTATGATGGTGTGAAAGCGATATACTTTCAGTAGAAACTGTAATTTAAATTTTGATCTTTTCTCAGGCTGGTGATACGCTGTATAGCCAGCCAGGAGATCATGAGAGTAAGCAACTGATAAACTCACAACCATTCTGTAACCATATAGTCATTCTGTTTTTCATGTTGGTGCAGTGTTCAATAAATTAAAGGATATATTTAACACTTTATTATAAATAAGCTTTCTGTTAGATGATTCAACTGTAGGCTAACATAATTGTTCTGAGCATGTTTAAGGTAGGCTGGGCTAAGCTATGATGTTCTATACTGTAAGTGTATCAAATACATTTTCAACTTATGATATTTTCAATTTATGATGGACTTATCAGGGCATAATCCCATGTAAGTCAAGGAAGCTCTGTACCTCTTTTTTTTAAGCACCCACTTAAAACTTATGAAAATTACATTGTACTCACAAAGGCAACATAACTTCAATAAAGTAGTTATACTGTGTACAATGTGATCACAAAGCAATGACACTAGACATTACTAACAAAGAATAAACAAATAGAATAAAATGAGCTAGAGGATTTTTTTTTACATAAACACTTCTCAACAACTTGTGTCAAATAATAAATTTAAACTTTGTTTACTAATTAGATCCGAATTATTGACAGAGTCAAATACAAGACTTTAAATGATTTAATTACTAGCAAGCTATAATGAGTAAAAAGATAAATTTGAATCCTGAATGTGTGCTTCAAATGGTAATTGCACAAGCATAGAAAGGGGGATATTTCACGAGCACAAGCTTAGTAAGAACCTGCACTGTCTCATGGAGGATGAAGAAACCAACGCAATCTTGGACTATGTTAATAGGCATTAATTGACTGGATAAATGCCAGAGATGATCCCCATTCTACTATGTATGGTGTCAGCCTCCACTTCTCTCCCATATCCCACCTCAGGTGTAGAAAACATCATATAGCTCAATGGAAGGAGAAATAAAGAGGAAATACTAAAAATATTGGAAAGAGTAAAGCAATCTCTCATTTTCCTTTTTCTGCCCCACTTCCAGGGTCAAGACAGCGTAAAATATGGTGGGATGAAGCAAAGATGATGGCTATCTTGTCAAAAGAGATAAAGAGATGAGGAATGCTTTTGCCGTCTCTTACTTTCATTTCTCCCAGGGATGGTGATTTTGCAAAAGTGTGCATTTGGGGCTGGAGGATTCCTTTTCATTAGGAAGCTTTTTTTTTTTTTAACTTTAAGTATTTCATTTATTTTTCTTTGAATTTTTATTGAAGTATAGTTGATTTACAATGTTGTGTTAGTTTCACTTGTGCAGCAAAGTGAATCAGTTACACATATACATACATCCACTCTTATTTTTTTTTTAAAGATTCTTTTCCCATGTAGGCCATTACAGAGTATTGAGTAGAGTTCCTTGTGCTATACAGCAGGTTATTATTAGTTATCTATTTTATATATAGTTGTTTAGGCAGAGAAGACCAGCAGGGTAGAGACCCAGGAGAGAGTGCAAGGAGGAGCTGGCTATGTGTGAAACCTCTTAGACCTGTTTTGTGTTGTTGTTGTTGTTTTATTTATTTTTTGTTTATTTATTTTTGGCTGCATTGGGTCTTCATTGCTGCGCGTGGGCTTTCTCTAGTTGCAGCGAGCGGGGGCTGCTCTTTGTTGCGGTGCACGGGCTTCTCATTGCAGTGGCTTCTCTTGTTGCAGAGCACGGGCTCTAGGTGCGCAGGCTCAGTAGTTGTGGCACACGGGCTCAGTAGTTGTGGCACACGGGCTTAGTTGCTCCGCGGCATGTGGGATCTTCCCGGACCAGGCCTCAAACCCGTGTCCCCTGCATTGGCAGGTGGTTTCTTAACCACTGTGCCACCAGCGAAGCCCTAGACCTGTTTTTAAGAGTGACAAGAAAAGGGCATGCTCAAGTTTCCTCCTAACTAGCTTATCATAGTGGGAAAGTTAAGAAGGGATTCAGGACAGAAGCGTGATCACAGAAGGAAGAAAGTGCATGGGGCCGAGATGACCTCCAGCTGCATTTTATGGGTATCTTGAGCTCAGTAGGCAGCGGGACAGCAGACAGATGCAGAAAATGAGAATGCCAAAGTCACTGATCAGGCTAGGTCAAAGGAATGTATGCAGGGTTAAGTGCCACATTTTAAGTAGAGAAGGTGCTAAATCAGAGAAATTCTAGAAAAAGAGAACTGGGGCTGAGAAAGGGTCTGAACACCTCATTCTGTGAGGAAACGTTAATGATTAGCCTGCAAAAAGGTGAATTGTGTCAGGTGACTTCATTAGCGTATGAGAGGCTTCCATGTCTCTATTGTTTCAAAAGAGTAAAACAAGGTGGGAAATGGTCCAGATTATAAGGCGGCCAAATATGCCTCCAAATTAGGAATGTTATAATAATTCTAAGATGAAAGGGTTGCCTTATGGAGCTAATGGCCGTGTCTAAAATAAAAGATTATCTTATAGTTCATAAAAGGAATTTATGGCATCCCTGCTCTCATTCATTCATTCATGCATTCATTTTATTAAGCATCTAGCATGAGCCAGGCCTATGATAGGTGCTGGGGAGACCAAGAAGAATAAAACATGGTCTGGCAAACAAGTTCTCATCCTCTAGAGGATACTGATACCATACAAAAAGGGTGATGGGAAGGAAACCAACAGAAGGGGAACCCACCCAGACTGGCAGGACTTGACTTAGGTAATTCTAGGAGAAGAGGTGTTGGAAAAGATGCACCAGGCCTCAGAACCTCCCTCTGCAATGTGTTAGCAGCCACACAGGTGAAGACTGAGGGGCCAAGGCCCTCCGGAGGAAGGGCTCCCCAGGTCCAGGAGGGTGAGCTTGTAGGCCTGGAACCTTAATTGAGATCTCCCTCTGAGCCCTCAGGATTATCAACATACAAATAACCAACTTAGTCATGTCAGGGCTGATGGCCTTGTGAAAAGTTGAAAATAATATATACTGCCATAAATATAATCTCTACTAGATGCTCATACAGTTTACACTCACCAAAGTGCCTGGCTGCCATGCCAATAAGAGCGTCTGCATGAGGACAAAAGGGAAAACAAAGCCCTAATTTTTTTTGACCTTTGACTAGCATAAGGAGGTAGGCTTTGCCAGCACCAGCCTCATAAAAATAACTGTGGGCATGGGAAGAGGAAAAGGAAAAAAGTGGGCAGAATGATAAAGGAAGATAAAGTTAAGCACTGTACATGTAACCAACATCTACTTCAAGTCAGTACAATGTATCACAATTGTTTTCCATTACATACCAGTTTCCGGCAGTACCCACAGGGGAAGATGGTAAGGTCACCAATGTGGGTAGATGGCATTAAGGCCCACTGAGTGAGGATACTCCAGCACCCTGAGTTCTCTCTCTCTCTCTCTCTCTCTCTCTCTCTCTCTCTCTCCTTCTCTCTACATAAATAGATGATAGATAGATATATAAATAGATAGATAGGTGAGACATTACTCAGTAAGAGTTTGTGGCCTCACACCTGTACTCCACTTCTTTGGTCACCGTTCAAATGCATATTCTTTGGAAAAATAACGTATTATTCTAGTAGACGTTGATACTCTCTAGGGCTGGGGTACTATGGGGTATCACAGCACTTCAAAGCTTGACTTGAGAGGGGTTGAGGAAATGAAATGAGAATCTGCGTAAACCGATGAGCATGGTGTTGCCCACATAGCGGGTGAAGGCTGCTTTCCACCTTCCACAGCTCTGCCTCCTGTGTCTTGCTGCTCCCCTCGAAAGCATAAAAGAATCACGTTGCTGGAGTCATGCTAATTCTCTAACTAAGTGGTCCAGGCTTGGGGTGATGACAAGAATAAATTCCTGGTCTGCCTCTCTTTTTTACCGTAACACGTTATCCTGACAACTATGTACCGCTCCCTTCCTCTTGGCAAAGGATAATCCCCCCTAAAGTGCTGATTCCCTCTGTTCCTCCTTCTTCCAGAGAAAATGAGCTTTCAAGCCTTGGTTTCTCTTCCATTTCACTCAACTACATTAAATTCAACTCAACACCTCTTTAGTGTCTTTTAAATAGTATATGCTACACTGGGCTCAGCTACCTAAAGTTACAAAGCGCGCAACCGTGGCATTCCTGGACACCTAATAAATTCTGAGAGACTCAGGCCAGGCTAAGTGTGGTTGGAGGGCTTCTCGTAGATCGGTCTCACTTCACTCCTCACTTTTAACCCGAGGTCCAGGGGGAATGCTGTAAGTCAGCCTTCACTCATAGGCCTTACAGAGCTCTGCACATGCTCAATTCTTTTTTGGTTTTATCACAATTCTAGATTCGAATGAAACAGCCACACTGCTGCCTTTGAAGCCCAGATTAACTCAGTTTGCTGTGAGGCCATGATGAAGTTTATCCGATATCAAGGATTTGGCAATGGAGGCATTAAAAGGTAGGCACATCTTTTCCTGTGACCGTAGGGTGTGGCTAAAGCAATAAACCTACTTTATTTCCAGACACAACTAGCATTTTGGAAAATTGGCTCATGCTTACAAAATTACCAGCTCAAGGAAAATTCTTGCCATCCAGGCATCTTTTCCACTGGCCCCCCAATGTGTTTTGATTAATGCTCAGTACACATCTCTTGTTTTGAAATGGCTTAAAACGATGACGGTGTGATCAGAAAAGAGATGCAAGACATATTATCTGTGGAAGTTCCAGAGTTTTCAAAGGTATCAAGGGTGTGTGTATTCTAGTCCAACCTATAGAGAACTTAAGAGGTAACAGGTACACAGGCAGGTGGACTTGGCCCTCATGTGACCACAGCCTTCTGTGACATCACCTAAGTTTCCTAGCCTCTCATTCTTGCAGAGAATTTTTCAGGAAGACAGTACAACACTGATGCCGAGTCCTCAGGGTGACACATCTGTGCCTGTTAAGGGGAGGCTACCTTATTAATTCAAAGATTTTAACTCCTAATACCTAACCCTCACTGAGTCTGTACCATGTGGAACTACGTATGCAATGCACTTTACATGAATTGTCTTATACAAGATAGATAATATTATTATATCTATGTTATGAGATCAGAAAACTTGGGTTTAGAAAGTCATTGAAACAATACCCCCAGTAAAAGGCATTGACCAGGCCTCACTGAACCCAGAGCCACACTCTTAATGGCTGTGCTGGGCTTCCACAGGGAGAAGAAACACTTTAGAGTCAGGACAGCCTGGCCACTATGATCCCCTACAAGACGAATCTCTCTCTTCTTGTGCCATAAGCCAGATTGTTTTGATCAAGCAGAATATAATGTACTCACACCCCTACACGTATACTTTTCACATAGAAAGTCCTCATGGATGTATACAGAAACTAAGGATATTTACGAACCGTCACATCTGTGGGAAAAATGTACTTCGCTATAGGGCTTGTCTCAATGTAAAGTGATAACGGGATTACCAATTTCTTGCAATTTGGAGAATTCTGGTAAGTCTTTTCTCCCTTCTCAGAAAATATGACATACTGATGTTGGAAAGCATATTGTATACAGTCCACTCTTTTGCTGAGGGCTGCCCTTTCTGTGGTATCCCTCTTCTAAAATGCAAACATTACTGAAGAGTAACATATGAAGTCATGGACAACTTCGTGTAAATAGTTTTATTAAAACCTTCATTGCCTATGAGCCAGAGAAAGTGTTTGCAGTGTTTGAATACACAGTGGGTCTCAGCAAAAACCAGACCGAAAAAATCCAATAGGTATCTAGGATTCATCTCAAAACCAGTGAACAAGTTTGCAGACTGACCAGCATACAAGGGGTGATGGTACATCTTCCGTTTTAAGGGGGAGCTAGATGTTTCTGTTTTCTAACATAGCAGTAACTTTCTTAATGCAATTTTGATATCTGGATTATTTCCAGATGTTGTCTGTGGCCTCTAGGCATTTTCAGCATTCTCATAGTCTATGCCTAATAAATAATTTGCTTACAATAAAACACACTGGGATATTTTCTAAACTTTCCTAATGAATAAAAAGATAGATCTGGACATCCATTTCTGGGAAGATGGAGTAGACATGTCTTTCTCCATTCCTCCTACTATGTACAACTAAAAACCATGGACGTTATATATAAAACAAGCAGAAGAAGACTCTGAAAGGCGGAGAGAAGATGGCAGATTGGCTATGGAAATCAGGACCCAAGAAACAACACAGCAGTGAGTTCTCTGGATTTTCTTTTTGCTTCCTATATCCCAAACCGAAAGCTGGAAAAGTCGAAAACAACGAAATACCAATGGGTTCAGATTAAAAAGCCCCCCAAAAGTTTGCTCTCTCCCTAGCCAAAGGGTCATAAAAGGGAGGAAAGAAAGGAAGGAAGGAAGGAAGGAAGGAAGGAAGGAGGGTGGGAGGGAACACATTTATACACGTGCTCTATCCAAGCCAACATCAGAGAAAACCTGTAGCATCACCTACGCACGCCAGCAAAGGCTCAGTGGGAGCCTAGACTTCCACCCTCATGAAGCTGTAACAGGGCACCTCAACACCCTCACCAGGATGTTGTCAGAGAAGGCTAAATATGGAATGGAGTTTTCATCCCCACCTGGTGGTAATAAGCCATTCGGCCCATACAGTGTCCATGGAGACCATGTGGGAAGTGTGGACTGCCGCCCTCAGCTAGAGGAATGAAGGGCTCCCTCCCCGTTGGGGTGGTGTCAGAGGACACATCATGGAGAGTTGGGTCTTTCCAGGGGTAACAAAGCCCCAAAACACAGCCACAAAAACTCAAACAGTCCTATTAGAAAGTAGGCAAAGGACGTGAAGAGATATTTTATCAAGAATATAGAGATGGGGCTTCCCTGGTGGCGCAGTGGTTGAGAGTCCGCCTGCCGATGCAGGGGACACGGGTTCGTGCCCCGGTCCGGGAGGATCCACATACCGTGGAGCAGCTGGGCCCGTGAGCCATGGCCGCTGAGCCTGTGCGTCCGGAGCCTGTGCTCCGCAGCGGGAGAGGCCACAACAGTGAGAGACCCGCGTACCACAAAAAAAAAAAAAAAAAAAAAAAAAAGAAGAATATAGAGATAGCAAATAAGTACATGAAAAAATGGTCACCATCATCAGCCATTAGAGAAATACAAACTAAAACCACAATAAGATATCACTTCACAGCTCTGAGAATAGCTAAAATTAAAAATGGTGACAATATCAAATGCTGGTGAGGATTCAGAGAAACTGGATCTCTCTCATTGCTGCTGAGGATGTAAAATCCTACAACCATTCTGCAAAACTTTGGAGTTTTCTTTAAAAAATTAAACACGCAGCTACCATGTGGCCCAACAATTGTACTCTGGGTACATCTTTTTTTCCCCAGGGAAAATAGGCATGTTCACGCAAAAACCTATACATATATTTTTATAGCAGCTTTGTTTGTGAAAGCTCCAAACACGAAACAACCCAGAAGTCCTTCAACAGGTGAATGATTAAACAAACTGAGGTACACCCATACCATGAAGCAATAAAACAAACTGTTGCTCTACAGAACGGCTTGGGTGACTCTCCAGAGAACTACGCCCTGTGGAAAAAGCCAGTCAGAAACAGTTGCATACTGCATGATTCCATTTTTATAGTGTTCTTGAAACAACAGAATTATAGAAATGGAGAACAGATTTGTAGTCCCCAGGGGTTAAAGGAAGGATGGGGACAGGTGAGAAGTGGGTGTGGCTATCAAGAGTGACAGGAGACATCCTTGCGGTGATGGGCATATTCCGTATTTGACTGTATCACTGTCAACACCCTGGTTGTGATGCTGTACTCTAGTTCTGCAAGATGTTACCCTTGGGAGAAACCGGGAAACGAATACATGGATATTTAAGTATTATTTCTCAAAGTTGCATGTGAATCTAAAATTTTCTCAAAATAAAAAGCTTCATTAAAGAAATAATGCCCAGGGGCTTCCCTGGTGGTGCAGTGGTTGGGAGTCCACCTGCCGATGCAGGGGACACGGGTTCGTGCCCCGGTGTGGGAGGATCCCACCTGCCGCTGAGTGGCCAGGCCCGTGAGCCATGGCCACTGAGCCTGCGCGTCCAGAGCCTGTGCTCTGCAACGGGAGAGGCCACAACAGTGAGAGGCCCGCGTACCGCAAAAAATAAATAAATTAATTAATTAAAAAATACCCAGAAGGCTCCAAATAAAATAAACACAGGTTATTTATTTTTAACCTCTTTATTGGAGTATAATTGCTTTACAATGGTGTGTTAGTTGCTGCTGTATAACAAAGTGAATCAGCTATTCGTATACATATATCCCCATATCCCCTCCCTCCTGCATCTCCCTCCCTCCCACCCTCCCTATCCCACCCCTCTAGGTAGTCACAAAGCACCGAGCTGATCTCCCTGTGGGATGCGGCTGCTTCCCACTAGCTATCTATTTTACATCTGGTAGTGTATAGAAAGATATATATTTTTTGAGTTGTATGCTACTTGACATCTTCTAGCAGATGTTTGGAAACGGTGAGAAATTTGATCATGGAAATGAAAAGACCTGGAAGAGGGATGGCAAATAGAATGGAACTCGGAGGCATTCTTGACAGGACGTGTGATGGTGAAAAAGCATGGTCTGTCATCATGGGCCTTGGGACTGGGGGAGGTACAGCCAATGTGCCACATAATTGCCATTCCTGACTCAAGGTTTATCAGTAGGGTCTCTGACAGCTTGGGAGCTCCAGAGACTGGAACTTTCCAAAACAGTACCCATTTTACTTTCACTCAAACCCCCGAGTTTAAAAACAAGTGTCTAAATCCCCCGGGCTGTCTCTCTAGCTGTGCCCAGTGAAATCGTGGGCTACAGAGTTGGCTGTAGAGTTTGACTGATGTTCCGTTCTGATCATTTGCTGGCCCACAAATACATTATGCAATTCATTGCTCAGGAAAATTTTCTGTTTGAGTTACAGGGATTAAAAGCATTACAGCTTAATCCCTTTGATGCATCCAGGCCATTTTGAAATTAGATGTTTTTCTATTAACTCTCCTACTGGGAACCAATTCACTGCCACTGTAGCAGCAGAGCCAGGCAATGCTGATTAATTACAGAATTTCTGCCCCTCTGCCTCTCTGAGTCTTTTAAAAATATGTAATAACAAAAGCACTTAGCTAAATCTATGGGGTTAATCAATGTTTCATGTACTTTGGAATAAGAAACTTCAGAGCCTTTCTCAATAAAAAGAGTAGAGGAAAGAGATAAGAACTGGTAGATTAAAGAAACCAGTGTTTAAGAATTCATATGCGTTAGAGACGCAAGCCACATCAACTCTCAAACTTACCAAAAAGCAAATCCACATTAGAAAAGCAGCACACACTCGGTTTATTACAGTTCTTGAAATGGAGAACATGAGTTTATAAATTAAATTATACATTCAATTCAGAGGCTGGAATGCTGCTGTCAGATTTATAGCTTCCAATTTAT